GTCGTGACTGAACTGGGAAGAACCATTTCGAAGCCCTGTTTTCAACACTGACCATCTTGAATCTTTTAAATAACGAATGATATTTTATGACAAATGGGATCTTATTTTAATTCGGATTTCCTTTGTTCCTGTTGAGGTCGAAAATCTTTCTATGAGTATTATCATTACATATCATCTTCTGAGACTTGTTTCTTCATAACGAGTTTTTTTCTATTGGGTTATTTAGTTAAGGATTTGTTAATGGTTATTAAACTGGATATTAATCTTTCAAAAAATATTTTTTCCACAAAGTTGTTTAAAAGCCTTTCACCCTAATACACTATTTAAATATGTTTCCTTCTAGTACTTTCTCACTTTTTTTCACCTTAAATCTTTAGTCCATCTGAAATCTGTTTTCATGTAAGATGCTCTTATTTTTGTAAAAAGAACTTGTTATTCGTGGCATTGGGTTTTATAGTTCAAAATACATAGTTATTGAAGTTCTAAATGTGAAAGAGAGCTGTGTTTTTCCTTAGCAAGTTTACTTGTATAGTGAGTCTGTTTTCAAAATAACAGTATATGTTAGGAATCAGAAAAAATTGCTTTATAATTCATTTGCTTCCCAGGGACCGCAGATTTGTTGCACATTTTGAACATAGTTTTCCCTTAAACAACAACAAAAAAACCAAAACTTTTTATTATGGAAAAATTCAACAGACACAAAAATAGAAGAGTATAAGGAACCTCCAAGTACCCATCACCCAACTTCACCAGTTACTGACCAGTTACCTGGCCAATCTTGGTTCATCTCTATCCCCACATAATTCCCTTCGTTGTATTATTTTGATGCAAATACTAGCTATCACGTCATTGCTTCAATAAATATTTCAGTATGTGTCTAAGAGATAAGGACTTTTCTAAAATATAACTTCAGTTACTAGTATTGCATATAAAAGAAAGATAGCAAGAATTTCTTGGTTATCATTAACAATCCATTCAGTTTCAAATGTGTATGTGTGTGTAATTTATTGATTTCCTTGGGAGATTTAAAAGAAGTGTCATGGCCTTGCCAATTTATCTAATCACATGGGAGTGGGCATACTTATAAAATGAAGATGATAATCCTCAATTTATAGCCGTGGAGTTAGTTATTTTTTAAATTGGCGGTATCTGTTTATTTTAGTATTTTAGGTTTTGTTCTTATCAGGTTTACAAATGCACCTAGTTTAAAGAGTCAGCTGGTTTGTAAAGCTTTTTGTAAACTACGTTATGACAATAGATGGATGTGATCTTTTTTTTTGGAAATAATTTTAGACTTACATAGAGGTTACAAAAATAGTGCAGAGAGTTCCTATGTACCTTTTACCCAGCTTCCCCCAATGACAACATCTGACAACTATTTTAAAAAACAGTTTATTTGAACTAGAATCCAAAATAGGTCCACACATTGTGATTGGTCGATTGGTACGTTGAGTCTTTATTTGTACGTTCTGTCTCCTTCAGTTTACCCTTGCAATTCATTTGTTGAATAAGCTGAGTTAAGTTTTAAAAACAAATTTATCGTATTTGTTTTTGTGTTTATATTTTCATCCAGCTTTTTTTTAGCTATGATCTTTTATAATTTCTTTTTTTTTCCTGTTATAATTTCTTTTTGATCTTTAAAATGTTACTTTTGCATGAATGGTTCTGTGGTGTAGTGGAAAGAGACCAAGATTTGCAGTCAGAATATCAGAATTTAAGCACCTCTTTTCACCATTTGGAGCCCTGGTGGCGCCGTGGTTAAGAGCTTGGCTGCTGATGGAAAGGTTGGCAGTTTGAATCCACCAGCCGCTCCTTGGAAACCCTGTGAGGCAGTTCTACTCTGTCCTGCAGGGCTGCTATGAGTTGGAATCGACTTGCCACCAACGGGTTTGGTTTTGGTTTGGTTTCACCATTTACTAAATAATGGACTTGACCAGTGGTTTACTTTCTCTAACCCTTAGTATACACATCAAAATAAAATCGGTAGTTTTTCTGGGGACCAAATAAGATTATTTATTAAACATTGTTGTGCTCAATTATGAGACGTGCTAGGTGGCTGGCTATTCAAAAGTCCGGATCATGATATCAAAGTGCTTACAGTGAAGGAGACAGACGGGTAAATGAATAATGCTAACAGATCTGATTAGTGAAGCCGATAATAGATATTTTCAAGGTTTAGTGGAAGTGTGATGATAGGCGTGATTAACTCTTGCTGTCAGAGAGTATTCCTCATTGCAGATATTGATGGAGTTAAGAACGAGTAGGGATTCTCCTGTAAAGGCTCTAAACATCTGGGATAACAAGTGTGGTGGTAAGTAGGCAGCTGAAGTGAGATTGGACAGCAAGGTGCAAAGGGAGCATTGGCTGTAAATGAATCTGCAGAGAGACTGGGGCCAGATATTAACTTTTGGGTGTGTTGTAAACTGAAACGCTATCAGAAATTTTAGATATTTTTGTGGGATTTAAGCAGATAAAAGTACAAATAACAAGTATCACGGCTTTGCCAGTTTACCTTATTACGCAGGAATTTCCATACTTGTAAATGTGTATAATAATCCTCAATTTATCCTCACTTATTGTGGTATTAGAGCCCTGGTGGCACAGTGGTTAAGAGCTATGGCTGCTAACCAAAAGGTCAGCAGTTTAAATCCACTAGCCACTCCTTGGAAACCCTGTGGGACAATTCTCCTCTGTCCTGTAAGTCACTATAAGTTGGAATTGATTCGATGGTAAGGGGTGTTTTTTTTGTTATTATAGTATTTGTTTATTTTAAAATTAGCTTTTGTTTTTATCAAGTTTGTAAATGCATCTAATTGAAGGAGTCCTGTAATCTGGCAGCTTATTTTGGAAAAAGCACTCTCCTGAACCCCCCTCTGCTGCTTCCCATAGCAACAACTTTCAAGTAACGTGCTTTCTTAATGCTGCTACTTTTTTTTTCTCTACATGTGCAGTTTAGTGACATTGATCATATTCTTCGAGTTCTGCGACCATTCTCACCCTCCTCCTCTGAATTGTTCCTACCCTATTAACATGAACTCACTGCCCCCAAGGTTCCTGTCTAATCTTTCCAGCTGCTGTTGTCAATTTGACCCTATATAGATAGTTCTTAAAAGAGTATAATGCTCAAGGTGGACCTCTTTTACTAGTTAAGCTAAACTATTGTTTCGTTTTAAGATGACTTCAGGGGATGTATTTGGTTTAAGGTTTCAAGATTATCTCAGGGCATTAGTTTCAGGGATTCACCCATCCTCCATGGCTCCAGAAGGTCTCAATTCCATGAGAATTTTAAATTCTGTTCTGCATTTTCCCCCTTTTGATTGGGATTCTATGGAATCTTTGATCAAAATGTTCAGTAATGGTAGCTGGGCACCATCCAGTTCTTCTGGTCTCATAGCAGCAGAGGCAGTTGTTTATGGAGGCAATTGGCCACACGTTCCATATCCTCCTCCTGTTCCTGACTCTGCTTCCTCTGTTGCTTCAGGTGAATAGAGACCAACAGTTGTGCTTTGGATGGCCGCTTGCACGCTTTTAAGACCCTAGACACTATGCAATGAAGTGAGAGGCAGAACAGAAGCACTGAACATGTTATTAGGCCAGTTAAGTGGCATGTTGCATGACCATAACCTTGAACCTCCAAACCAAGGAACCAAATTCCATGAGGTGTTTGGTTGTACATAAGCAGCCTCAACACCTACCCTTTGTTGTTGTTATTGTAAATGGATCTATCACACAACTTTTGCCAGTTCAACTTTTTACAGGTATACGACTTTGACAGCAATTACAGTAATCGGCTGTGCAGCCCTACCCTTAATGTTATTGCTACTTCTTGATTTTTAGTTTTAGGAATTATCTGTCGGATTCCTACTGGGGAAGATGAGGAATTAGCTCTTTTTCCACACCCTCACCCCCTATCATACAGCTTCTCTCAGTTATGGTTACTTTACGGTTAGATCAATATTCAGTGTTTATAGTATTATGGCTATTTGAATTATTAGCAACTGAGTCATGGAGTGTACTGTGATTACTCTCTGTTTTCTGCATAACTTGTTTTCTCTGGAGTTAATAATTGTCATTTGTTTGCGCAGTGTTCTTAAATTTTCCTAGTTGTGTAAATTGAACACATTAACTTAGAGGTGTTTTTGTTTTAATATGCTGTATCTTTTAAATCACTAGTAACTGTTTTAACAATTTTGATTAACCTTAATGTTCTCAATAGAGATACGGAAACAAGTAGCTGTCAAGTAATTTGACATTGTAAGGAATCATTTATGTTAAGTAGTAATTTAAAATCTGTATGTAACAGATAGTAGAATATCTGATAAAACTTTAATTCAGTTGTATTTATTTTAGCTGAAATGAGTGCTTTTTTTTTTTTTTAAATGAGTTCAAAAAAGAAATGGAACTTCTCTGGATTGTCATGATCATCGCAGGTTTCTACTGTGTTCGGCATTGTGTCCTGATGTTTGTAGGGGTGTGCAACTATCGTACATATCACTTACTGATCCAGAAGACCTGGTGAACTTCCGTCAGCTTTGCCCTGTCCTGCTAGATCAGCTCCTTATAAAGATAGACCAGTAACTTTGAAAAACTGCAAGCCTTAGCTCTGTCTCATATATAAAAGGCTCTAGGAAGCCCCGGGAGCCCTGGTGGCACAGTGGTTAAAGAGCTCGGCTGCTAGCCAAAAGGTTGGCAGTTCCAATCCACCATTCGCTCCTTGGAAACGTTATGGGGCAGTTCTCCTCTGTCCTGTAGGGTCACTGTGAGTCGGAATCGACTTGACAGTAACGGGTTTGGTTTTTTGGGGGAGCGGTTAGGAAGCCCTAAATTAAGGTAGCCAGTTTAAATTATTTTTTTCAGATTTACTTGATCAGGGGCCCTTTTTGATAACAACTTTACTAATGTCCCCAGGACTTCACTAAACACCATTTGTCAGACTGCAGGTTATGGGGAGTCTCTTTCCCTGATGCCATCTTTTTCTCTCTGGTTTTGTAGTGACGAAAATGCTGAGCTTCTTCCGTCGAACCCTCGGGCGGCGGTCAGCACGTAAGCATGCCGAGAAGGAGCGACTCCGAGAAGCCCAGCGAGCTGCCACACACATTCCTGCAGCTGGAGATGCTAAGTCCATCATCACGTGTCGGGTGTCCCTCCTGGATGGTACTGATGTTAGTGTGGACTTGCCGGTACGTTGGGCTTGATGAGCCTGCAGGTTCTGTGTGAGACCACTGTCTTTTCTCTGAGCTCTCTACTGATAATTCCTGGAGGTCTGAGGTGATATGGGCTGGTATGGGCAGGCACTGTAGCGTACAGGTATGGGGATCAGGTAACCTTAGACCAGAAGTACCTCGGATGATAGTATTCCTCTCTGGATTTAGTGACAGTCACTTGAAACATTTAAATGATAGAGCAGTTATTGGCATCAGTCTTTTGTGTGTGTGTATGTGTTTGTGTTCTTTATGACGGTGGGACATGGTGTAGTCTAGTGAATTTCTCATTATCACTGTTGAACAATCATTAAAGCAAATGGGAATCTTACAGAATGATAACGATACTTATATCTGTACTGTGAGCATTTTTGTTCTTTATACTTTTCTGTGTTTTTCAAAACTCCTCTCATCTTCCTCAAAGCAAAACAGACACTTCTGCCACAGTTTGGTGTGCTTGCAGAAATTCGAATGAAATGAAGTGAGAAAAAGGATTTTCTTCATAGCCCTCAGCTTTGACTCTGTACTCCCAAAGTAGTTTGCCCTGTGGGTTTTTCATACACTGTAATCTTTATTTCAAGACGGGCTGTTAGAGCAGAATTTGGGTACTTTTTTTGCAGCTACAAATGCATAATCATAATTCACAGGGTGAAACATTCCGGTATGTTTGAAAGAGGTTACCTTATTCCTTACAGCCTTTTTTTTAAAGCTTTGTGGTTGGGGGGAGGGGGGTTGAGTTTCTTCATGAGCTATTTACTAATACCTACTCTTTCTCATAAGGACCCTGGTGGTGCAGTGGTTAAGCACTCAGCTGCTATCCAGAGGTCAGTGGTTCAGACCCACCAGACTGGTGATCTGCTGCCTTAAGGATGACAGCCTAGGAAAGCCTGTGTGGCAGTTCTGCTCTGTCCTGCAGGGTCCCTATGAGTTGGAATCGTCTCGATGGCATACAACAATACCCGTCTTTCTAATGTCTTTGTTTTGCCTTCTAAGACTTCCTAACTAAGCTGTATGTTACCTGTGATTTGATGTAAGCTGCACTGGATGTTCTTTGGTGTCTTCCCTCTGTGCAAACGCGTTAAGTACACACTTGTTCCCATGACGTTCAGTATCAAATGTCCCAATGTCTCTGTGCAAGTGATAGCCTCGGTTGCTACAGTAGGTAGCTGAAAAAGCTCTGGAAGGCCTTAAACTCAGTGAGAGATGAAGGAATTGGATACTTTGTTTAAATGAATATTCTGATTAATTGAACAGTTTGTAATAAATACTGGAATATGATAAAATTAATCAGAGATTCTGTATTCTTTGCTTTGATGTCATCGTCAGGAGTGTTTGTCTTCTGTATAGTCACTGGAAACTTTTAGGGTGTTTGTTTATAGAAAACTTGAAGGCATCTAAATTTCTTCCTGTAAGGGCTTCTTGACGGTGTGCCAGACATTCCAGTATGTGACACTTTGTGAAGATAGTTTTCATGTTCATTTCTTATTTGATAAGCATCTTAAGAGTTTTGTGTATTATTCCATCAAAATATCATTAGAGACTGTGTTGAAAGCCTCGGGTTGCTGTGTAAGAGACTGGCAGAAAATTTCTTATTACCTAATGTTTGAAATATGAAGTCTCAGGGTTCTTGATGGAGAGGCTGATAGCAGGAGAGTAGAATTTGTAAAGAGCTTTTTAAAAAGGCAGTGTACCGTGGAGGAGAAGCAGCACTAGGTTTTAAAGTAGGAGAACAAATGGTGACTGACTGGTCTAGAATGGTTTCTTATGCTTGCTGTGCTCAGTAGCGTGTATGTGATGCTTGATCACACCCAGAAATGCTGGCTGGCCTCTCATGGGAACAACTGCGGTGAAGCAGCCAGAGTTTAGGTTAGACTCTTTGTAAAACTAGAACAATTGCCTTTTCAGCTCTACAGGTTAAACCTTAAAGTTAGTAACCTAACTTTAGATGCTTGGAGAGGGGTATAAAATGGACCTTGGCATATCAGCTGATTGCTTTACTGAAAAAATAGGCGAGAAGCATGTTAACTTCTGAAAAGGAAGGTTTTTCCCCTTTTTTGATTTAGCTTCTCAACTACCCTAGTATGATTCTGGAAGAAGTTTTAGAACTGATTTTAGAAGCTGAATGACGCACTTACTCATTTCCTTCTAGGATTAAGATCACTAAAAAAACCTCCATTGCCATCAAGTTGATTCTGACTCATAGCAACCCTATAGGATGAGTAGAACTGCCCCATAGGGTTTCCAAGGCTGTAATCTTTATGGAAGCAGGCTGCCACATCTTTCTCCCATGGAGCGGCCGATGGGTTCAAACCGCCAACCTTTCAGTTAGCAGCCGAGTGCTTAATCACTGTGCCAAGACGATTACCCTGGCAGTATGTAAGGGATGATCTGTGATTAGATAGAGTCGTTTATCTGTGGACTTCCAGTGATTATATACCAGTAGTGATGGTCTCTTTCCTCTTTCTTACTCTTGTTCTCCTTTCCTTTCAAAACTGGGAGAGGAATTGAGAAACCTACTATTCCTTCTTTTTTTTTTTGGAACAAAACAACAGTAAGAATGCCTGTCACTGAATGACAAAGACCAAAGGCATCAAGGAAAAATTTCTAACTATCTGGCTTTTTAGTGTCTCTTTGGAAATGCCACAGTAAGCTCATTTGATTAATTTAAGAGCATAATAACATTTAGTAAATAGCCTGTCCGCCATGTGTCTGTCAGTTTGTCGTACTGTGGGGGCTTGTGTGTTGCTGTGATGCTGGAAACTATGCCACCGGTATTCAGATAACAGCAGGGTCACCCATGGAGGACAGGTTTCAGCTGAGCTTCCAGACTAAGATAGATTAGGAAGAAGGACCTGGTGGTCTACTTCTGAAAAGAATTAGTCAGTGAAGACCTTATGAATAGCAGTGGAACATTGATATAGTCCTGGGAGATGAGCCCCTCAGGTTGGAAGGCACTCAAAAGACGACTGGGGAAGAGCTATCTCCTCAAAGTAGAGTTGACCTTAATGACGTGGATGGAGTCAAGCTTTCGGGACACTCATTTGCTGATGTGGCATGACTCAGAATGAGAAGAAACAGCTGCAAACATCCATTAATAATTGGAACATGGAATGTATGCAGCATGAATCTAGGAAAATTGGAAATCATCAGAAATGAAATGGAACGCATAAACATTGATCTCCTAAACATTACTGAGCTGAAATGGACTGGCATTGGCCATTTTGAATCAGGCAGTCATATGGTCTGTATGCTGGGAATGACAGCTTGAAAAGGAATGGTGTTGCATTCATCATCAAAAAGAACATTTCAAGATCTATCCTGAAGTACAGTGCTGTCAGTGATAGGATAATATCTATACACCTACAAGGAAGAGCAGTTAATACGACTGTTATTCAAATTTATGCACCAACCATTAAGGCCAAAGATGAAGAAACTGAAGATGTTTCTCAACTTTTGCAGTCTGAAATTGATCAAAAATGCAGTCAGGATGCATTGATAATTACTGGTGATTGCCATGCAAAAGTTGGAAACAAAGAAGAAGGATCAGTAGTTGGAAAATATGGCCTTGGTGATAGAAACAATGCCAGAGATAGCGTGACAGAATTTTGCAAGATCAGTGACTTCTTCATTACAAATACTTTTTGTCACCAACATAAATGGCGACTATACACGTGGACCTCTCCAGACGGAATACACAGGAATCAAATTGACCACATCTGGATCAGAACAAGGCCAGGGGCCCACTGCAGAACAGGCCATCAGTTGCTCATATGCAAGTTCGAGTTGAAACTGAAGAAATTAGAACAAGTCCACGAGAGCCAAAGTACGACCCTGAGTATATCCCACCTGAATTTAGACACCATCTCAAGAATAGATGTGGTGAGTCGAACACTAATGATCAAAGACCAGACGAGTTGCAGAATGACATCAAGGACATCATTAAGAAAGCAAGAAGTCATTAAAAAGTCAAGAAAGAAAGAAAAACCAAAATGGATGTCAGAAGAACTCTGAAACTTGCTTTTGAACATCGAGTAGCTAAAGCAAAAGGAAGAAATGATGAAGTAAAAGAACCGAACAGAAGATTTCAAAGGGCGGCTGGAGAAGACAAAGTAAAGTATTATAATGACACGTGCAAAGAGCTGGAGATAGAAAACCAAAAGGGAAGAACACACTTGGCATTCCTCAAGCCGAACGAACTGAAGAAAAAATTCAAGCCTCAAGTTGCAATAGTGAAGGATTCTATGGAGAAAATATTAAACGACGTAGGAAGCATCAAAAGAAGAAGGAAGGAATACACAGTCATTATACCAAAAAGAGTTGGTTGATGTTCAGCCATTTCAGGAGGTAGCATATGATCAGGAACCGATGGTACTGAAGGAGGAAGTCCAAGCTGCACTGAAGGCATTGGTGAAAAACAAGGCTCCAGGAATTGATGGAATGTCAACTGATATGTTTCAGCAAACGGATGCAGCGCTGGAAGTGCTCACTCATCTGTGCCAGGAAATTTGGAAGACAGCTACCTGGCCAACCAACTGGAAGAGATCAATATTTATGCCTATTCCCAAGAAAGGTGATCCAACTGAATGTGGAAATTATCGAACAGTATCATTAATATCACACGCAAGTAAAATTTTGCTGAAGATCATTCAAAAGCAGTTGCAGCAGTACATCGACAGAGAACTGCCAGAAATTCAAGCTGGATTCAGAAGAGGACGTGGAATGAGGGATATAATTGCTGATGTCAGATGGATCCTGGCTGAAAGCAGAGAATACCAGAAGGATGTTTACCTGTGTTTTATTGACTATGCAAAAGCATTCGACTGTGTGGATCATAACAAATTATGGATAGCATTGCAAAGAATGGGAATTCCAGAACACTTAATTGTACTCATGAAGAACCTGTACATAGATCAAGAGGCAGTTGTTTGGACAGAGCAAGGGGATACTGCGTGGCTTAAAGTCAGGAAAGGTGTGCGTCA